ATCACAGCTGAGTACAGCTACATGCAGGGGTGGGAGGAAAACCCATGCAGTTTGCAGACCCTTCTCACCCAGAGAGACAGTACAAATGGATACTTTTCTCCAATTTGCATTGAACACTGTAGTACTGTCCAGCATATGGAAAATTAACAATCTATTTAAAACGTCTCAACTGGATGCTATAATGATTTCTTTCCAGTCACAAGTGACTACTAGACTGACAGCCAGTAAAACTTTTACAAAAGGTCTGCTAGACAGCTTTATTTTCATGCACAAATCACCACATTAAGTTCACTCCCAAGTGCTTGCTCTAGAACTAACATTACAAATCCCACACTTTAATTTGCTTAAGAGCACAAGCTACTTCATCTATACCCACATCCTGACAAATTTGGTGGACTTCTAGGATGGGGTTACAGCAGTGGTGGATAAGGGAAGGGCAAAAAATATCATCCACCTTGTGTAAAGTATTTGATGTGGTCCTGCATCACACCTTTGCCCAAACAGGGGGAGACATGGATTTGATGGATGGATCACTCAGTGGACAAAAATTGGCTGGATGGTCACACTCAAAGACTTGCAGTCAACAGCTCAACGTCCAAGTGGAGAGAAGTGATGAGTGACAATCCTCAGGGGTCAGTATGGTGACAGCTTTGACAGCTACATGGACAGTGGGATCAAGTGCACCCTCAGCAAGTCTGCTGCCAACCCCAGGCTGTGTGGTGCAGCTGACACTCTGGAAGAAGGGGAGATCATCCAGAGGGATCCTGATAGCCTTTACAGGTGGGCATGTGAGAACCTCATGAAGTTCAACAAGGCCAAGTGCAAGGTGCTGCAGCAGGGTCACAGCAATCTCAAGCACAAAGACAGGGTGAAGAATGAACTGAAAGCAGCCCTGGGGAGAAGGGCTTGAGAATGCTGGTGGACAAAAAGCTGGACATGAATCAACAGTGTGTGCTAGCAGCCCAGAAAGCCAACCACATCTTGGGCTGCATCAAAGAGCTGTGACCAGCAGGTCAAGGGAGGTGATTCTTCCCCTCTACTCTGCTCTCATGAGACCCTACCTGGAGTGCTGCAGCCAGCTCTGGGGCTCCCAGCACAAGACAGATGTGGATCTGGAATGAATCCAGAGAATCAGCTGAGTGCACAGAGCTGCACCTCTCCTACAAACACAGACTGAAAGAACTGGGGCTGTTCAGCCTGAAGAAGAGAAGGCTATGGAGAGCTCTTAGAGCAGCCTTCCAGTATGTAGGGGGGGCGCTTACAAGAAGGCTGGAGGAGGACTTTTTAAAAGGGCATTGGATGGGGCGAATGGCCTTAAGATGAAGGAGTGCACAGTTAGATTACATATTAGGAGGAAATTCTTTACTGTGGGGGTGTTCAGGCACTGGAACAGGCTGCCCAGAGAGGTTTTGCATTTCCCATCCCAGAAGGTGTTCAAGACCAGGCTGGATGAGGATGCAAACAGACAGTTTCCTGCCCTTGGCAGGGGGATTGAAATTAGATGATCTTTAAGATCCTTTCCAGCCCTAACTATTCCATGATCTTTGAATCTGCAATTAAGCCCCCGTGCCAGGGCTTACATGCATTGCTATGATTTGATTGCCTATTTTTAACTAAGGTGCACTACAGAACCTCTGCCTTAACTGTACTAAAAACTACAACTCAAAGCAGTGTGAGTCAGACTTGTTTTGCTAGGAAGAGTTGTGCCAGAATGCTCTCCCAGCAATGTCTTTGATCTTTCTCTCAACTGCAAACCCCTTCTGACCATTCTCTCCCTTTTCTCTCCATGAGGCTTCAGAACCTAAGCCAAGCACTGGGGAATCTGTGAGTCCAAAGCACATTTGAGGGGGAAGGTCACTCTGCATCTCAACTCCTGGGGAACACTTTTTCTAGAATCTTCTTCATTCCAATTTTCCTATCAACAGCCTGTTTTTGCAGTACAGCATCTGAGAGCTGATGTTAACAGATGATGATTAGATGATGACCAAGATTTGACCTGTCTTGCAATGTTACTGCAGAATGCAATGCCCTCCCCTACACTTTTCAAAATGAAAGCGTACAGCACCAGAAGTCACACTGCAAGTACATAACAGAGCATGCAAAAGCAGTATCCACAGCTGCCAGAAAAAATGTCATTTGCATAACCAGTCATGAGGAAAGTATTTGTCAAAAAGATACATTATTTTCCTGATGCCAATCTCAAAATGCTAAACTGTAAGCTGCTTATCAGTATCAGCAGCACTGATTTGATTGAATGTATTGGAAAGGATACAGAAATGTGCATCATTCACTGAACAGGTATCCCATAACTGTATAAAAGACTTCTGAAGGAGAAGTTTGTTGCTGAAGGTATTTTTGTCATTTTGAAGACAGACACTGTTTGATGACCATGTGGAAAATGCAATAATGTTCTCTAGTTTTATGAAACACATCTAAACCAAACTTTAAAGTAGCTTCAACAATACAGATGAAGTTTCCATATGATTCCCTCCTCCATGATGAGAGCAGTTGATGAAACAGTTCCAAAAGGCATTGGAGTTCTTCAGTGTGGGAGTGGAGAATGTGGTACGGCTACATTGTGTTACTCCCTTGCAGAGAAGGAGTCAGACACAGCCTTAGCTTCACTTAGAAAGTGATGCCCAAAGGAACTGGCAAAGATGCTTCTGCATCAGTCAATGAAAAAGACCATCTGTCCTTTCTCAAGAAAGAAAAAGACAGCAAAGGAAAAGGCACTTTTACCTAAAAGTAAGCCAGATGATTTTCAATCTGCAAAGTCATCTTTCCTTAAATGTCATGTACACACACTGTCAGCTCAGGTTTATTAAAGTTTTTTGTGAAACTGGAAAGAGGTTCAAAATGTCTGATAGGAATTACAGTTATCTGTCATTGCTAATAACTAGCATTGTAAAACATTGTCTGCCACAAATAGGAGAAAGTAATAAAAAAAAGGTTCACATTCATATAGATAACCCCCCCTCCCAAAAAAACAAAAAAAAAATCCCCACCCAAACTAATATACCCATAGCAAAATAAAATGCAAATTCTTTGCAGATGCACATGTTTAAGTTGTCAATATCTGAAAACCTATCAATGAAACCATGAACAGAAAGTTGCTATTGCACTACACAAGCAAAATTCAATACTGGGGATCCAAACAACTCCTCACAGAAATGAAAGCAATTACAATTTTACACCACCTGTAAGTCACAGAAAGGTAACAAAAGCAATGTCTTGATGCTCTACATACAAAGTACCTCTTTATAACAATGAAGTTCTTGAGTTAAATGAGATTAAGTACAATTATAATCAGAATCAAAATGACTATAGCTGTCCAATGCCTGACTGCCAAGCATTTATAACAAATGGGACAGCATATACTTGTAACTCATTTTTATATTGCCCTTGGGTAACAACTCTGAAGCTGTAGATTACTTGGGAGCAAAACACTGATTGTCTGTAGCCAAGCTTTCTCCTAGGAAATGTGATTGATTTAACTAAACTCCAGGAACACATTAAGTTTTTGGGGAAGTGTGTGGGGGAAACCAAGAGACCTGCATATCCCTGACAACAATCTCATTGATTGATGACACAATTAGTGTCCCAGTCCAAGCTACAAATATATAAAGGATTTACTTAACAATGGAGTCAATCCTACTGCACCTACCACACCACATTTGATTCACAATTGTCAAAAAGCATCATGACAAAAGATTTAAGTGTGACAAGCAATGTCATATCCTATAGCCCAGAGTGGGCTCTTCCTTAATGGAAAACAAGGGACTGAGTAGACCAAATGTCTGTTCCTTTTATTTCTACAAAGTGTTAAACTTGAGTACTAGACATTAAGTGGTTTTCCACAGAAGTGAATACCCCAATCCCTAATTAGCATGAAGAACCTAAGCACAGGACTCTTAAGTCCAAGCTGTTCTATGAATATCCACTTCATCTTTTTAACAAATTAGCTTTAATGAACCTCATTTCCCAGCCCCAAAGAACTGGGAAAAAAAGGTATCCAAAGGCTCAAAAATATGTGTGAGGGAAAAAAACCCAGCCCTGCTTCACACTAGTGATGAATATTTTAAAAATCCTTCAACTATATGTCAAATATCTTTTTCTGGACTCAAAATTATTTATTGTAAGATTCAAAGACAAACTCAATAAGGCAGTGAGAATAGGTATTATGAGATGCTGAATCTCAGTTTACACAGACATAAAGTAACATCCATTTTTCTTTCCACCAGCTCTGAGAAGTTACATTATTCTCCTATCAAGGATAACTTAATTGAGAGCCTTAGTTGACATTCTCAGGTCAACACTTCCAGCAGAAAGAAAGAAAAAATATGCAGAGTACAGAAAGTCAATCAAATGGTAATCTTGTTTTACAAGTACACACATGAACACAAAATTTTGAGCAAATATGACAAAAAGATTCAAAAGATTGAAAAAAAGGATTTGGTTTAGGTGCATTATTCTCTTGAGGACAGATCAAAAGGACTTTCAGAAGCTGCTTTTACAGAAAAAGAATCTGTGTATTACAGGCCTTGTTTTGTACATCTTTTCAAAGGCTTCTTGTCTAGAATGCAGTTTGCTGGATAATTGAGCCATGTACAATGCCTTCTGACCTCTCTCGTATCTCTTTGGCCTTTTCCACTGATGAAAGAAACCAAACTTTATTTTATTTATTTCCACTCTTGGAGATGTGCATTCTTCAACTGATCCATTTTCTGAAATCAATTCTCACATAAGCGTAGGTGGTATAAACTTAGAATCCTACACAACTTTACTCTTCCCTCACTTAAGAAATCAGAACCTAATTTGAAAGTGCAGGATCCTAGAAATATCTTCCATTTTGAAGCTACCAGTACATTAAATACTGATAAAGAGCAAAACTGATACAGGTAAATAAAAGCATCAAGCTCCCACAGGCTACAACTTCAACATTCCTTCTGATTTTTATCTCCTCATTGATAGACAGAGTGGCCAACAAGTATTCAGCATACCTGCTCCAACCTCTTTTTCTTCTTCTTCAATGTTGTTTTTGATGCTGTCATACTCTTCATCAATTGCCTGGTTGCCACGCATTTGAGACAGAATCCTCCGTGCCCTCTGGGTCTGGCCTTTCTGAATGAGCCAGCGGGGACTTTCAGGAAGAAACAGGAAGCCAAGAAACTGTATAACTGCTGGTACAGCTGACAGGCCCAGCATGTACCTGCAAATCAATCAGAAAATAGATAAATATCTACTATTTGCCTACAAAAACACACTATGAGAAAATTCAGTTACAGCTAGTCCAACTGTGTTTACAGATCAAATCTCTCACTCCTCGTATTCTTTCTCGCTGTGAGTTAAGGGGGGAAGAATCATATTCCGCAGGTATTTTAGAAAACATGATCATTCCTTTCCTGAGATTTCCAAGAAATCTCAGGGACATGGTGACTATTCTGCCACCACTGACTCTAGCCACTGCTTCTGAGGACACTAAGTTAGACTAAACAAAAAACCTGAAATATTACACTAGTTTGGAAACTGGTAAATCCTTCAGTGACAATAATCAACAGAAAGAGAAAGAAAATGCATGGAGAAAACCAAGTACTGTTGATGACAGAGATGAGATTGAAATCCTACTAATTGTTTCACCAACATATTAAACAAACAAAAAAACAGCCAGAGAACAATGTATAATTTGGTCAGTAGTACATACACACAGACACATTTGCCAGTTTTATTTTTGAAAATTTCTGACTATAAGCAGAAACACTGAAAAAAGTTCATTTCAGCAGCACAGCAATTTACACAAGATCTTTCAGAGAGTCTGCTTTTAAATCTTCACTCAGATGCAGAGTGAGGTTTTAAATCAAAACTGCATTTTAGATGTCCAAGGGTTACTATTTACAGCATCAAGACTATTTCTCTACTCAACAGAGAATTACCACTGGTAAAAGGACAGTTATGCTTCCAAGGATCAGCACTGACACCTGTGGCAACACCCAAGCAGGGTTATTTGCTCCATCCAAAGTGGGGGAAAAGCTGTGGAAGACAAGCACACCACCAATTTGCATGGGTGGCTCTGGTCTATACATATCACATTTTTATATTTCTTCAGTAAAACAATAAAAGGATAAAAAGAAATGCAGAACAATGTATCATTATGTTCTGCTTTTAAAATCTGACCTTTTCCCATTTACGCTTCACCCAGATTCTTTTCGCTTTCATTAAAGACTTTAAACAGTGCTGGTGTCACCTGTACATTATTGCAGTTATCACAAGTGCACATCAGTGGATACAATAATTAAAACACCTCCAGAAATCAGTCCCTCTGAATATTGAGGTAACCTGTACTCATAAACAAATTCACACCTTGACATCAGTCAGGAGATTAAGGAGATTGGCTAATCTCTCCTCTAGCTCCTCTCTCCATTCCCCAGGATGCATGCTTTCACAGTGACTCTGCAGCCTCTTACCTGGACCTTTTTATAAAGCATGCCTGAGATTGCTAATTGAGTAGGAAGGAGAGAAGAACTATTGTTGAAAACCTTATGTTAGGGGCAATGAACCAAATGCATTTTGAGTAAAAATGGAAAAATACTTTCTTAGAGGCATTTGTGATTTAATGAAGAAAAACATGGGCAGTACAACAGGCAGAAAACTGGAGAATGGTAAAAAGAATGCCCAAAAGGCAACACAAAGAGGATGGCCATCCCAGGACAATGTGCATGCAGACCAGTCTTCCCACTCCCAGCTGAGCCCTCAAGTTCTTCTTAAAACCAGTCAAAATTTCCAAAGGTCAAACAAGCAAAACTTGCTCTAGAAAGAGCTCAGTTAGCAGCTCTCTTTTTTTTTTTTTGTAACACTTTAAAAATTATATAGCTCACTATTAGTTAAAAAAGAAAAGCATAAGAAAGAAAATAAATTCAAACCATAAAGTCAGTGAAAGGCTTATTAGCTGAGAAGTCTTCAGTCAATGTATCTAACAGTGTCACTAATCCACTCATGTTCTCATTCCTCATTCATTAATGGCCTCATTTATTCCTACACTTTTTCTTCTCCACAAACATTTTGGTAGCAGTGTACAAAATACATAGACCATTGAAGCTCACCAAACTGTAAATTCAGTATCTTTACTGGAGTGATATTTAGAAAGCCTTTTCTATTTCAAATGAAGAGTAAAAAAACTCTCAGAGATTAACACCAACTGCTGTATCCTGTCAAAGTGCATGCTGAAGTAAGTTTTCATGCATCTAAGCATGCAGATTTAGTCCTTCAGGCTCATTTTGCTTAAATTTCTGCTCCTCCAAAGCCCTTCAGTCACTTAAATGCAGCAGAGCCTCCAGAACTAAGCAGTTGGGTACCTGCAATCATCTTAGGAGGCAAAATCAATCAAGGCTCCTGAAAGCTTGATTCATACCAGTTGGATTCTATTGGATTGTTTATCACAGACAAGACAAGAAAGAAATGTACAGACAGGGCTCCCTCACTGAAGTTAGTTTCCAATCTGCAAAATTCTGATCAAAGTTGTATAAAAGGAGCAGGCCAAAAGGAAAACATTTAGTTGAGAGGGAGCATCCATTGCAAGTTCTAGAGTTGGTGTAATTTTCAGAGCAAGCCATATTGATATAATCAATTTAGAGTAAAAGCAGGCAATTTTAGACATTTTATGCAGTGAGCCAGCTTTCAGAAATCTAATATAGTTCTTTCCTATACAGATTACAAGACTTTGTGTTTGAAGCCAGATGTCTAGCAGACCTGAAAAAATCCAGCATGAAATTTAATAAGTCTGCTGTAACATTTCTCCTTCTCTGACATACTGCTGCAATACCATTAAGATGGCATTAGCAGGGTTTATAAAGATAACCTAAGGGTCATGTTAAATATTTGTTTTATTTATTTTAATTTAATATCCAGCATTTCCAAGAATAAGCAGAGCCAAGAAAAATTAAAGTTCCTTATTGTTTGTTGCAGCACTCCAGTGCTTATCCATTCAGTCAGGAAGAGATACAATAATTGCTGAGATGTTCCTTCTTGTATGTAATGACTCAGGGGAAGCCATTTGTGATTTCTCTCCATGTGTTTGCTGGCCACTCCTTTCAGGTGACAGACCATCTGTACTCTTCCCTGCTCAGCCTCAGGTTGCAATAAACTAGCAGAGGACATCATACCATCCTCAATTAACAGCTCCAGCATTGCAGCTGGAATACTTGGATACCTCATCACTGAGGTGGTAGCCTATTTCTTCACTCAATCCAGCAGAGCAGTATTTGGCACATACAGAAAACAGCATTACTGCAAAAGTCACCCAGCACATGCCAGCAGGCTGCAGAAACTATTGCTCTTCACTACTCCACACACCGTGCTGCACTAGGACTACAAATACAAGAGAAAGCCACAAACCAGGAATAACAATGGATCACTAAGACAAGTGGCACAACTGGAGCACGTGAGAAGAGGCTGAGAGAACTGGGTTTGTGCAGCCCAGAAAATAGATTTTTATTATTTAATAACATAAGCTTTTAATTATAAATTTATGCTACAATATCCTTCAATTCTGATAGATTACCACTGCTCAGATTAAGAATATTCAAACTTCAAGTCTATCTTGCACATACAGCATATTACTTATTGGAAATTTGCCTTTTGAAAAATCAGCATGCAATTATTGTAAATGCAAAAGGCAAGCTACCTTCATTAACATCCAAACAATCATTCATGCTTGTAATGTATATTTATTACTCTCCCACTTTAAAGTTTAACAAAGTCAAAAACCTGTGCATGTTGTGAATATTAAGCTTAAGTGAAAGCAGAAGGGATCTATTTTGGCAAGATATTGAAGCTCCATTTTAGTAAACAGTTTTACCACTTTCTATGCAAATTCTGTTTTACCAACAAGAATTATAATCAGCAAATCAGAACTAGAGCAGCTTGCTTTTAGCAAGGAAGGCTCACAAACCTCCAACCATCCTTGGCGAGGTAGCTGAAGATTCCATCGACAACGCTGGCGAAGAACTGCCCTCCAGTGATGAAGAGAGTGTTAATGGTGACTAATCTGCCTCGTAAGTGTGGTGGAGCCACTTCTGCGATGTACACCGGTACAGTCATAGATGCTACACCTACAAGAATAAATTCAGTTACAGTTATAAAATTGAAAGAGATATTACATTGCTTTTTCATCATAAAATACTATTTTGGGTTTGGCTGAGACAGAGTTTGTTTTCTTCATAGTAGCTAGTATAGGGCTATGTTTTATATTTGTACTGGAAACAGTGTTAACTATTCAGGGATGTTTTCTTTATTCCTTACACAGAGTCAAGGCCTGTTCTGCCTCTCACCCCACCCCAGCAGCAAGGCTGAGGGCACACAAGTAGTTGTGAGGGGACCCAGCCAGGACAGCTGACCCCAACCAATCCCAGGGATATTCCAGACTACGTGGCATTGTGTGCAACATACAGAGCCAGAGGAAAAGGAGGGAAGCGGGGACATTCAGAGTTGTGGAGTCCATCTTCCCCAACAGCTGTAACACATGATGGAGCCCTACTCTCCTGCAAATGGCTCAACACCTTCTTGCCCATGGGAAGTGGTGAATGAATTCCTTGCTTTGCTCGTGTGTGTGGCTTTTGCTATACCTACTAAACTGTCTTTATTTCAACCCATGAGTTTTCTCACTTTTACTCTTCCAATTCTCTCCCTCACCCTTCCAGCAGAGAGTGAGCAAGCAGCTACACAGGGCGGAGTTGCTGACCAAGCCTGGCATGACAAGCGGGGACCCAGACTGAGCTGGCTGTGGTGCCCTGTAACTCCACAGAAAACACCTCCTCTCCTGCCATGAATGACCACCCCAACAGATGGAGCCCAAAGTCATGGACTTAAGGAACTCAATGGACACTTTACAGATATTCTACAGGGGTGGTCCATAGACCATGGGAACGATATCTGTGTATTGTATCAAAGAATGGGCAGGGGGTTCATGGGTAATAAGAGTGCATTGTATCTGTGGGGGGATAGAACATAGGAAAATAAAGATAGTGCAGAAGGTAATCTCACCCCTGAGGAGTTGCAGCTGTACTAATTACCAGAGATTAGAACAGGCTGCCCTTAACAGGCCACAGCTGTGTCCAATGAAGATGAGTGCTATAGAAGAGTGGGTTAGGTCAGTGAGGAGAGAGTTGGAGTTTGTTGGCTGTACTGAAAAGAAGGAGTCAGTACTGTGAGGAGCTGCCCATGAGCAATCACCAAGAAGGTATACGAGCTTTTGCAATAAGATGACAACAGCATCTAGATGGAATAAGGGGTGGAGAATGTGCTTTTTTCAGCTAGGGTAGAGGTACTATTCTTCATAGCAGCCCGGGCTATATTTTGGATTTAAACTTAGGACTTTTTGCATACAAAATTAACTCTATTCAAGGTGAAATCAGCACACACTTAAATAGAATAAGCTGGACAAATTTGATTTCTGACTTTCAAAGGATGAAAACAATGAAAATGTAAGTAATGAACTCTAGAAGCATTCAAAAAGCAAATGCTTGCTAGCAGCTGTATTGGAATGTCAAGGTTTGATGTAATGAGACAAAGAATAAATTTCTTCAATTCACTTTGCATGTACACTGAAATTAAATAAAAGGATAGATATAACTATAGTTTCCAAAGAAAGAGATGCTATAATCCAAGAAAGCACACATAAGTCGAAGTGACTAACTGAAGACATCAGGTGTTCACAAAACTCTGTTTAAAAAGAACTTTAGCATGGGTTCTACAGCCAGAAACAAAAACAAGGCCAAGCATTATTGTTATTATTATTATTGTGTAATTTCATTACTGTTATAAAACAAATTGTTTCTTGACTTAGTTTAAAAAATATTTCATGTGCTATATCAAGTACAGGTTGGCTGGGCCCTGACCAACCTGATCTAGAGAGTGGGCTCCCTGCCCATGCAGAGAGATTGAAACTGGATGATCATTAAGGTTCCTTCCAACCCAAGCCATTCTATGATTCAATGCAAAAAAGTCTATCACCATAAGGAAACAAGGACTAACACGAAACCACAGCTGCTTTTTATTCTGCCTTAACACTGGCAGTATTTCCTACTAACTAGGCAATGAGTCATTTGTGCAAAAGACAGAAATGTCCACGAGAAACACACACAAACTGTAAAAACAGAGCTCAACAGTGCATGAAGAGCACACCTGGGTGCAGCACATGCTTTGGTGGTCAAAATCCCCATTTCCTTACAAGAACCAACACTGACAAGCAGCAGTGATTTCTTTTGTAGTTAAAACTAGAAGTACATTGGCAGCAGCTAGCCAAAACCATATTTTGACTGAAGTCAGCTGAGATACAACTTGAGCACAGCCAAGCACCATCAGACACAACACATCTTCCAGCCTGGGGCAGCTCCACCAGCTCCATACAGACAGCCCCACACCAGCACAGGTCAGTGCCACAGCCCCAGCAGGAAATGGGGTCACCTAAAAGCAAGCACATGGCTCTTGAAGCACAGCTATGGCTCCTGGCTTGTGTCACAGCAGAAAGGACTCATCATGGGATAGCAGAGGCTTTGGCTAGCCTGGCTGACTTGCCAAACTAAGAGCACAAAATCATCTTTAGCAACAAGGTTAGCCTGACAGGACTGTTGGGAGCCTCCAAAAGCTCGAGCAAGGAATACAGATCGTTCAATAATGAAATGGCATGAGAAGATCCTTTGTTGTGATAGGTAAACACTCACAGTAGCATCTCAGCATGATAACCCAGTTCCCAGCAGGGCCTCCCAGGACATGCCAGTGCTTCCTTCTCTTATCAACTGAGCAATCGGCACAGAATAAAAAGCCCAAATAAAAATGTCAGGGGGAAAAAAAAAAGAGCATTAAAAATTTATTCAACTAATTTTCAAAGCCAACCAGAATGCATCATGGAAAGAAGCATTCAAAGAGTCCTTTGTGTATTTGAGAGAGAAGTGAATTTTCAGCCCAGCCCACCATTAGGGGTGTTTCTCTTCCATATTTCATGTCAGCATTTGAAATAATGATGATTAAAGTGATGGAGACTGCACACATGTAACAGCAAATCCTTTTTGGGAAAGCACAGATGTGTGTCCACTTGCTCCAAACAAAAGCCACGGAGGACCCATGTGAGGCAGCAGCTACCACTGGAGCAGAGGGGCAGGGCCTCACAGCTGTGGCAGCCCTGGCCTGGTGAGGCTGGGCCTTCCTGCTCCCCCAGCCACCCCCTTGCCTTGGGTATCTCACCCCAATGCCCAGGCTTGTTCCCCCACTGTGGTGTGGCCATCTTCCCATAGGATCCTTGGGATTGTATGTTTGTTGTCATCTTATTGCAAAGCTCCCATACCTTCTTGGCGATTTCTCATGTGCAGCTCCTCAGAGCACTGACTCTGTCTTCACAGCACAATCACCAGGCTCCAGCTCTCTCCTCACCCAGCTACCCCACTCTTTTGTAGCACTCATCCTCATTGGACACAGCTGTAGCCTATTAAGGGCAGGCCTGTTCCTAATCTTTGCTGATTAGTACAGCTGCAACTCCTCAGGGGTGAGACTGCCTTCTGCACTATTTTTATTTTCTTACATTCTATCCCCCCACATAAGTTAGTTAACATGTATCTTTGACACACATAATCATGTAGTGAAGCTAATTTGAGAAGTAAAGATGGCAACATCTACATGAGGTTATTACTAGAAAGCAGTTAGAAAGGTGTGCACAACCAAAACCAATACATGCTTTGTAAAAAAGCTACCTTTTATTCCCCTTTCAACTCTTGATGAAGACAATTCTACCAGGACCTGCAGAGGAATCTTGTTCAAAGCATGCCAGCCAAAATGCTTCTGAGGCATCCACAAAGCAGAGCCAAACCAGCAGCTCCAGACCAGCAGCTCTCACTGATGTTCAGAGCACATCACCAGCCCTGAGACACTGCTAGAACCCTGGTAGCCACAGCTACAACGCTTGCCCCTCTTACAGGTCAAACTAAAACCTGTTGCATAACACAGGGGTGGTATGAAAGTTAACATGTATTTGTAAAAAGTCTTGAACAAGAGGCATCATGACAACAGGTTTATTGTTTCTGCTGCATTCTTCTCACAAGTTGATGACTACAGGAATAAACAGAGAAATGGGAGCTTGCACACCCCTGTGACACAAGTCCTGTCACAAGCTAGCCAGTGATATGAGCTATTCAGCTGGCACTAATACAATAGCTGATATTATCTATTATCAAACCTGCAATAAATAGCACAAGATCTAAGGATATTAGCTCAAAATCACACAGAATTGCTTAGATTTCTAGAAACATGTGAAGATCACCTAGTCTAACTGCTGTTCAAGCAGGGGCAGCTAGAGCAGGCAGCCCACAACCATGCTCAGTAGGCCTTGACCATCTCAACATGTGGATCTCCAACCAAAATGACTCTGTAATTCTGCAGCTTCCATACCAGCTTTCTTGCCCTGAGAAATGTGTTCACAACATTGCTGTCTAAAACAGCCTTTGTGGATTTCTATTTAGATCTTACTTCCTCTACCGTGTGTCCCAAGACCTACAAGTTCAAAACATTCAAGCAAAAATCTCAATTCAAAAGACACATTTGTTACATATTTTCAATTATCATTTCAATATCAAAACATATGCTTTGCTACTCTGAGTCTGAAAGAGTACAGCAGGAGGTTTCAGGGAACAGGAGGAGGCAATTAGGAAAGCCTTCCCAGTTTATCTGTCATGCAGCAAGCACTCATACACAAAAGCAAAGTTCTTCTTGAAAAAACACCAGGAGTGAAAAAATGGCTATTCTAAAACTGATGAAAATAAGAGAAAAAAATCATATGATTTTAAAGAAATAATATTTTAGATTCTCGAGTGTTATTTGCATTACTCATTTGCTTTTAGTTGCCTTAGAATGCATCTATGTTCTCCAGATTTTCCTCCTCTGATTTCAATTTAAGACACACTAGAACACAGGAGGATAAGTTCTTCTAAAAAGGCATAGTCAGAAGCAGTGCATTAAGTATTAGTCAAGTATAAAAATCTCTAAAATACATAACCAGTATTTGTTATGTAATTATTTTAATAGCCAGATATTAAAGAAATTTAAAAACAAAGAACAGCTTTCC